ACCACCGCGTTTGTAAATACATAATTGGGTAACTTCTCTATAATAGAAAGCAGGCTTATGCTGTTATTTAATTCATTCAAATATCCCATAGTGTCTAGAGTTTCCTTAAAACATCGTAAATCATCCGCAAAGTCTAAAATACTTACATTATTGGCAATTCTAGGTCTAGCTGTAATCTTCGATATCTAGGCTTGCGAAACATCACTTTCATTTCCAAAAAGCTCCTTTAGAAGTTGCAATGCTAATTTATACCCATCTGACGGTGCTTTGACTAGACAACATTAGAGAAGTTTCTTCGTTTGTCCTGTACAATATTGTATGAGGCGCCATAGTTTGGCACTGTCAATGATAGTATCAAGATCCACCGTATTCTCAAAAGATCTTATGAAGGACCGGTATTTCAAAGGGTCTCCGTCGAGGTATGAAAGTTGATGTAGTTTAGTTTCATTTAACATCTGACATAAAACATCTCCGATTTGTACTGAAGCTTGAAGCGAGTTTTCAGCGGCACAATTTTCTGCAGATACTGGAGGAGGCCTTATTGTCGAATTTCCCCGTGATAGTCTGGGTTTTGGTTGCTGACTTACATCAGAATATGTTGCATTATTGTGTATAGTAGTCGATTGAGGTGTATCCAATTTTGGGTTGTGTTCTCGGTTTCTTGGGGTTGAGTAAGTAAAAGGATTTTCAGTAGGACCTACATCGTTAATGGCCTCTTTGTAACTCTGCTCTAAAGATTCAGCTCTAACAAGTTTGGACTTCAATTCAATTTAACGTTGTTTTTGTTCGAGATCTAATAGAAGTCTTTCAATTTCAAGTTTCTTTTGTTCGGCTTGCTGTTTATCTTCAAGCTGCTTTAACTCTAAATCGCGTTGTTCTCTTAAAACAATCGATTCTCTCCCTAAAGCGATTCTTTCAGCTGTAGCCTTGATTCTAGTTTCATAAACAGAAGGTGTTGCAGATATGTGTGATTGATTACTAACATCTGATGCCCATGTATGAGGCTTATCTTCATACTGACTAGCTAACCAAATACCAGCTACATCTTTAAAATCATTCGTTGTTTTAACAACGTCCAATCTGTATCTCTCAGATTCTGACATTTCTGTTACATCTGTTAATAAAATGTGATATTCTGTATGGGATTGTCCGAAATCTTCTAAAGCTTGATCAAATGTTTTAATACGTTCTGCAATCTGGGATGTATTGGGGTTATCTATCATTAAGGATTCTTTTTGGTTCATTAAACGTATAAGCGATCCTTTAGAAACGCCACGTCTGGATTTCAAATTTCTTATTCTTTCATCTTGTGTCACTGCCAGGTTGAGATTCTCGGGATTATAATTCGGTGTAGAAGTTGTAGTTTTTGAATTCTATTCCTGGTTCGACATGTTGATACAGTATAACAGGTATATATTTGGGTTTGGTTCACTTGGTATATTAACATCAATAAGTCCTGGTCGTATTTAACTGAATGCAGCATAGCTACATGGAAATGGTTCAAGGTAGCAATTGTCCCAGCTATTAAAAAAACTCGTTTTGGTTTTTGGATTTAAAGTTTATTTTATCGATGTAGTTCAACTTGAGAACATGAGCACGGGTATGAGCATGAGGTTTAACTGAAATAAAAGAAATAGGTTCCTAATAATAACTATCAAATTATAACAAATGTACATGAAAATACTGATCGATTATGACACAGAAATAATAGGCCTAAATCGAGTAAAGGCCTATAGACTTGCGAAAATAAACAGATAGCCTATCAAATATAAGACTTCATAGACCCTTTAGATGTACCTAATATGCAATAGGCCTAGATATAATTATAAATATAACTAATTTTAACAGCAGCAATACAAGTTGAAAACAGAAATTAAGGCCAAGGGTCACACAATAATACTTCATAGACCCTTAAGATGTACCTAATATGCAATAGGCCTAGATATAATTATAAATAGAACTAGTTTTAACAGAAGCAATACAAGTTGAAAACAGAAATTAAAACCAAGGGTCACACAATAAACAGAATTATAATCCAGTAGGCCTAACCTATACAAGTATTATTTAGTAACTTATATATATAGTGTCATGATGATTAAACCTAGCATAGAAATACATATTTATACATTAAAATATTACTTACTACGCTGGGGGAATAATTTTAGTTAAAAGGTACAAATGGGCTTGTTCAAAGCACATGGTATAACAAACTTTTCATTGGGGGCACATAACTCAATCATACTTCCTGTTAAGGATGAAAAATAATAAAATGAAAGTAGCGCAACAATAAAATGAAAGAAGCAGTAAGTGTGAGCGTAACATAATATCTTATCGTATTTAAAGCCAATGACTCACGACTTCATATTGTAAGCCGATACGTTTCAGAGACATGTTTTAATCAATGAAAATGGGATATACTGAGTTTGGAACTAGAGTGACCAAAGAAAAATATACACACGTTTCAGCCTTGCATTGATTGCTCAATCAGCGATCATTTGTTTTCTCTGTGTGTGCCATAGACGTGCAAAATAATATTTGTGACCAACTCACTCACAGGTTTCTGTATTAAACCCAACAAAGGATTGATTTGATTATGTTCCCAGTTATCATGTTCAAAACTATACGAGGAACAATGTTCCAATACCTTCATAATACTAAATGGGTCACGCACAAACTAATGCAAAGAATACAAAGCCGGCGCGCAAGCATGATGAATTGTCTCTAGACTGTATGGTAACTTGCTAGTCCACATGAGAGCTTCTCAAATCCAATCTTCATTATACAAATAAAGCCTCACAGTATGGCGTGCTTATGGTATACAGTTTTTGACATGTACCATTTCATCCTTTGGTTAAACCAATTTCTTCTGGCTGCCAACATACAACGTATTGATCTTTATTAAATAGATATTGAACATGACCAACTTAAATTAGTGACACCCCATTCCAGCTCCAACACAAAAAATTTGTTTGTCACGATCTAGGGCTTCTTCGGGATGCCACTGGCTTTGCCAACGTGCCCTTGAACCCTCTGTTATTGTTGTATTCAGGGCCCTGTTTCACGAAATTTTAACTAAAGATAAAATCCAAATTTTAGTAATTTGATTGGATAATATTAGATTGATTTCAGTGCTTAGCCAATCAAAATCGAAGTATCTACTAAAATTTGGATTTTATCTTTAGTTAAAATTTCGTGAAACAGGTTCCTGGTCCTTGTTTCACAAAAACTCAAACTAAAATCACTATAATTGATTTTAACTAAAATCAAACTGTAATTTAAAATTTTATGCGTTTCACGAAGATCGATTGTAAGTTAAAATGCAATTTTAATAGATTTTAGTTAAAATTGCTTGCGCTCGCGCAGTGCACAATTTCGGCGAGGGCACTTAGGGTGTAAGCATATACACGCTTCGGAACTGAAAACTGCTGCCAGGTTGAACTAACCGTTACAATACCAATGAGGAGAGTTTCATACGTTGTAACAATGTCTGCACATGGTCAGACAGTTGTAGAGAGATGAAATAAATATGTTTATTGCGGGTTATTCGCATTGATATGGATCAGTTGGTTGGCCTTGAACTTGCATGTCGCTTTCGTGACCTTGGCATTTGATTTAATCGCAGGCTTCAGTGGAAATAATGCGTATCGATAAACTAAATCGCTTGAATTTAGTAGTTTTATGGTATTTTCGATAACAGAAACTATTGAGAAATTGTCACATACATGTGATATTTCTGACTCAAATACACGAAATAACCAATGTTCCATGGACCCGTTCAATAATAATTTTAAAATGCCAAAGTGTCCCACTACTTATTGGATAATGCCTATCTAACTTACTAAATTAAAATGATTTTTTTCCCAATATAAATTACCCTTGGCTCCTATATAAATCATCATAACCCCAAAATCATAAATACTTTGCATATGGCGTATCTAGTATTAAAGGACTGACGGGGTTTCGATTTCCCCAAATTTTACGAGAGAGAGTGTAGGGTCGTCCGTCCAACCTCGTGGGTTTTCTTTGGGTCCACCGGTTTTCTCCCACTACTAAAGACCCCTACGCGCTAGTGAATTATTCAAATATTGATTTTCTTGACCTAGGTTAAATATAGAAATATTCATTTGATACTAAAAAAACGAGATAGTTTTAAAGATTATGAAGCATCCTCTACTCTCTCCATTCTACCTCGCTCGATGAAACTTAATATTCCATTCATTTCATTTCCGTTAGAAAACAGTTTTGACTTTTTAAAAATAAGTATATTAGGATATTTTTTATACTACCTGAATCCCAGAAGCACAAAAGAACAAGATATCCTAGACCGTTTACTACAATAAGCCCCAGATTTTGAAATGTGGTGGTCGTTAAGTGGTTTTATAGAGCACATATTGTGTTTTCGTCTCAATGCAATGTCTTAAATATCTACCTAAACCCGTCTACAGTCAGTTTTTAATGACCACATTATGAAATTTATTAAGTATATTCCTATTAGTGTAAAATATTAACACCCACTGATCCCCTATGACCAGATTAATAATTAAAAGTATTCTGGGTGAAAGTAACATTTAGGAGATTTTGAAAAGTAGTATATGTGTTTTTCCGTCGATGAAAATGCGCCCACACAGCGTCCTGACTTTTATAACGTTTATGACTTAGGGGTGTACATCTCAATGAGTACCTGATGACAACGCCTCTCTATTTTCCAAACATTCTGCAGTCGAAACACTATTTGAGTTTTCAAGTATTTTTATGTAAAGTATGGTCACATTAAACGTAATAATGATTAATTCAAGGAATACGTTGACATGAAAATCTGAACCCAAAATATATTCTCTTCTGAAAAGGAAACGTAGGCCTGTGGTTTTCCATTGTGGTTTATTTCTTACCACAATCCGCCAAATGGCCCACAGAATGACACACATTGGAAGTAACATATATGTATCAAATAAACTCACGGATTTATACTTTAATAATATTTCATATTAAAACAAACTTACCAATAATCGTTCAAATTCCTGCCGACTGGCATTTTTATTATTGATAACATTTCCCACTTGACCTAAGAAATAAAATCAAAACATCTGTTTTTAGAAAGTGCATGCTGTTACATCTCCCACGATCGGCGACTTTTTCTTTGCACTGGCTTAACGACGACCTGCGATTTTCACAACACGAGAAATGAAATGAAATGAAATGGGGTTTAACGTCCTACTGTTCTGCTCCTATACTGGGCTAATGAAGACGGGCATACGCCTCACAACACGAGAGTCGCCGTTAAGCCAGCACGACGAAAAGGTCGCCGAAAAAGGCGCCGATTACTTTACGATATCGGAGCCTTTTTCGGTGACCAATTCGTAATAATAATAATAATAATAATTGTAACTATAACTGCGACGCAGTAAAGACGGGTTTTACCGGTGCCACGTTACCCTTAAACATATGTCACTTCCGGTACCAATGAAACCATTAAACAGGTTTCCACATAACCATTGCACACATCAAATAAAATGGTCGCAGAATCAACCAAATCCAGCAATATCAGTTCATTTTATACATTTATTACATGTAAGGGTACAGTACTTCCGGTGATAATGAAAATGTTGAATTAGTTTTATGTAATCAGAAATGGCATTAAGACATCACATGGTGAAAATTTTATGTAAATCAAATAATAATTGCCACTTTTATAGACCAAATAAAATGGACGCCGAATCAACCAAATCCAGCAATATCAATTCATTTTATACATCTGTTACATGTAAGTGTACAGTACTTCCGGTGATAATGAAAATGTTCAATTAGTTTTATGAAATCGGAAATGGCATAAGGCATCACATGGTAAAAATTTTATGTAAATCAAATAATAATTGCCACTTTTATAGACCAAAAACCTTGAAAAGTGACTTGTAGAAAATCGTCTATTTCTCTGCAACCGTACAAGCTAGAAACCATTTATTTGGTATTTGTATGATCGTGTGGGTTTAATCTATTTGTTGATTTGAATCAAATATCATAATTTTAAAAACAATACAAATCAGATTCATTTGAATAAAATATTTGTTTTGAAGGCTAAAAATACAGTTTTTGCCAAAATGACGTTACTTCCGGTGACAGTAAAAGTGTTAAATTACTTGTATGAAATCGTAAATGGCATTAGGCATCATACACTGGAAATTTTATGAAAATCGAATAATAATTGACACTTTTATGGACCAAAAACCTTTAAAGTTACCTGTTGAAAATCGTCTATTTCTCCGCAACTGAACAAGACTTAGTTAAAAACCATTTTGTGATATCTATATGATCGTTTGGGTTCATTCTATTAGTTGATTGGAATCAAATATCAAAATTTTAAACAAATTTACGTCACTTCCGTTGCCAAAAGGCAACTTTACCGGTAACAAAAAAAAGGACATTTTGGACTACGGGGCATATGAACTTTGTTTTATACAAATCTAACAATAAATAATTAATCCAGGACTGAAAAAATAAATTAGCCAATGGGGGCCAAGAAAATATACGGTGACAAAAAATGTTACCATTTTTGGTCAAATCAGGTGACTCTTGAACCCTGGGTAAAATACCACATAAAAATATTTATTAATAAAAAGTTTTTCGTAAAAATTTAAATTTTCAAAATTTGGCGCCTAATATCTCCGAAGATTCATTGAAAATAAAAAAAAATCTAAAGAACTGTAGCTACGTGCCTTGTCTTCGGCTATGCCAAAATGTATCAAAAATTACAATCCCACAATTATTGATAATATAAGCATTCCACACATCAAATAAAATGTACGCAGAATCAACCAAATCCAGCAATATCAATTCGTTGTATACATTTGTTACATGTAAGTGATCCTGATAAAATTACATTACTTCCGGTGATAATGAAAATGTTAAATTAGTTTGATGAAATCAGAAATGGCATAAGGCATCCCATGGTGTACATTTTATGTAAATCGAATAATAATTTCCACTTTCATAGACCAAAAACCTTGAACAGTGACTTGTAGAATATCATCTATTTCTCTGCAACCGTACAAGTTAGAAACCATTTTTTGGTATCTGTATGATCGTATGGGTTCAATCTATTTGTTGATTGGAATGAAATGTCATACTTTTAAAAACATTACAAATTAGACTCATTTGAATAAAATGTCTTAAATCTTAAATTACTTAAATGAAATCTTAAATGGCATTAGGTATCACACGGTGAAAATTTTATGAAAATCGAATAATAATTGACACTTTTCTGGACCAAAAACCTTGAAAAGTTGCTTATTGAAAATCGTCTATTTCTCCGCAATTGAACAAGGTAGAAACCATTTTGTGATATCTATATGATCGTATGGGTTCAGTCTATTAGTTGATTTGAATCAAATATCAAAATTTAAAACAAATAACAAATACGATTCATTTGAATAAAATATATGTTTCGATAACTATAAATACAGTTTTTGACCAAATTGCGTCATTTCCGTTGACATTGAAAATGTTAAATTGGTTTGACCTAGTTAAATTACGCATCAAATGGTGTCACTTTTATGAACATCCAATAATAATTGACTCCTTTACAGGTAAACTAGTGTAAATATTGACTTATGCAAAATTGCCCATTTCTCGGCGACTGCTCATATAATAAACTAATTTTGACATACATTCTCTTCGTATTGAATATTGCTACTAGTTTATGAAAGTTGCGAAGAAATATTTTAAAATATGAAAAGCCTGAATGGGTTGTGAATAGCTCATTTTTTCACCTTTTTTCATCTTTAAATCGAAATGATCCGAAAACGAAATAAAAATTAAAAAAACTGAGCGTGATGATTTCTGCGCCTTAACAGGGCACACCCTTTCAGTCATACCAGATTTGAAAAAAGTAATATTTGCTTTCAAAAAGTGGTACCGAACTGTCAAAATTGCAGTTTTTGCTAAATTTACGTCACTTAAGTTGCCGAAAGGTAACTTTAGCGGTAACAAAAAAAAATGACATTTTGGACCACGGAGCATATGAACTTTGTTTTATACAAATCGAACAATAAATAATTAATCCAGGACTGAAAAACTGAATTAGCCAATGGGGGCCAAGGAAAAATACGGTGACAAAAAATGTTGCCATTTTTGGTCAAATCAGATGACTCTTGAACCCTGGGTAAAATACCACATAAAAATGTTCATTAATAAAAAAGTTTTTCGTAAAAAATAAAATTTTCAAAATTTGGCGCCTAATATCTCCGAAGATTCGTCGAAAATAAAAAATCTAAAGAACTCTAGCTATGTGCCTTGTCTACGGCTATGTCAAAATGTATCAAATATTACAATCCGACAATTATTGATAACATTACGGCAAAATTTCGAAAAACGACAACTTCGGTGATTTCGGACATTTCGCATGGTCGCAGAACGTTAGAAATAGCTTTAAAATTTAAGTCAAACCCACTTTCCCCAGTAAAACCGAAGACATCGAATCGATCCGACAAGTAGTTTCTGAGATATGCTCAAATGGAAAAATAATAATAATAATAATAATAATAATTAGAACTGCGAAGCAGTAATGACGGGTTTCACCGGTGCCACGTTACCCTAAACATGTCACTTCCGGTACCAATGAAACCATTAAACAGGTTTCCAGATAAGCATTGCACACATCAAATAAAATGGACGCCGAATCAACCAAATCCAGCAATATCAATTCATTTTATACATCTGTTACATGTAAGTGTACAGTACTTCCGGTGATAATGAAAATGTTCAATTAGTTTTATGAAATCGGAAATGGCATAAGGCATCACATGGTAAAAATTTTTATGTAAATCAAATAATAATTGCCACTTTTATAGACCAAAAACCTTGAAAAGTGACTTGTAGAAAACCGTCTATTTCTCTGCAACCGTACAAGTTAGAAACCATTTTCTGGTATCTGTATGATCGTATGGGTTCAATCTATTTGTTGATTGGAATAAAATATCATAATTTTAAAAACATTACATATCAGACTCATTTGAATAAAATATCTGTTTTGAAGGCTAAAAATACAGTTTTTGCCAAAATGACGTTACTTCCGGTGATAATGAAAATCTTAAATTACTTGTATGAAATCGTAAATGGCATTAGGTATCACACAGTCAAAATTTTATGAAAATCGAATAATAATTGACACTTTTCTGGACCAAAAACCTTGAAAAGTGACCTGTCGAAAATCGCCTGTTTCTCCGCAACTGAACAAGTTAGCAACCATTTTATGATATCTATATGATCCCATGGGTTCATTCTATTAGTTGATTGGAATCAAATATCCACATTTTAAACAAATAACAAATACGAATCATCTGTATAAATTATTTGTTTCGAAAGCTATAAATATAGTTTTTGCCCAAATTACGTCATTTCCGATGATATTGAAAATGTTAAATTGGTTTGACATAGTCACAATTGACATTACACATCAAATGGTATCCCTTTTATGATAATCCAATTATAAATGACTCTTTTACAGGCAAAATAGCGTAAAAAGTGACACTTGCAAAATTGACCATTTCTCGGCAACTGCTCATATTACAAACTAATTTTGAGATAGATTCTCTTCGTATGAATTAATGCTACAGGTTTATGAAAGTCACAAAGAAATATTTTAAAATATGAAACGTCTGAATGTGCTGTAAATAGCTCAATTTTACACCGTTTTTCACCTTTAAATCGAAATTGCGCAAAAATGAAATCGAAATTAAAAAAACTGCTTCCGACTTTTTTTGCGCCTTTACATGGCGCAACTTCTTACTTTTTATTTGCTTTCGAAAAGACGTTCCTAACCGCCAAAATTGTAGTCATTTCCGCTGCTGACAGAAAGCTTTATCGGTAATAAAAAAGTTGAGACCTTGCACCATTGAGCATATGAACTTTGTTTTATACATATCGAGCAATAAATAATTAACCCAGAACCCATAAACTGAATTAGCCAATAGCGGCCAAGGTGAATTATCGATACGAAATTTTTTCATATTTTTGCTCAAATCACATGACCCTTTAATTATAGGTAAAGCGCCATAAAAAAATATTCAT